GTTTGAAGGCTGTTGCTGGAACTGTGTATGTCTGGTCTGATGAAAAGATGGATTAGGGGTGACATGATATAGAATGGAATAGAATAGAGGTCGGCGGTTCGAATCCCTAGCTCTGCATAACGGAGGGAGCTCCCATTACTTGTCCCAGCTTCTGCCAACCTAGCAGTTCAAAAGCAGGTAAAAAATGCAAGTAGAAAAATAGGAACCACCTTTGGTGAGAAGGGAACAGCGTTCCGTGCTCCTTCGGGCATTGAGTCATGCCGGCCACATGACCACGGAGACGTCTTCGGACAGCGCTGGACCTCCGGCTCTAAAACGGAGATGAGCACCGCCCCCTAGAGTCGGGAACGACTAGCACATACATGCAAGGGGAACCTTTACCTTTTACATAATGCTTCGATTTTGAATCGGGAGAATTGCGATCAATAGTTTCAACTGTTGTTTTATTATTGTCCTTTCTTCCTCCCCAAATCCCAGCATTTCAGAGATGAAAATGGAGCAGATTTTGTCCAGCTTAATGAAAGATGACCGTTTCAAAGGAAACCCGGAGAGATCTAAGGTCAGTTATTCCCTCCTAATTTCATTTCCATTTCCCCATTTATTTATTTATTTATGTGTTTTTAAAATTTGCCAGAACAAAAGGCTAGTTAGCGAGTTTTCACCCAATTTTACGAATTTCCTCCACCCTCGCGGTTGTCGAATGAATCCCCGTCGTTAAGTGAATCCTGCCATTGTTAAGCAAATCTGGTGTCTTCCTTTGAGTCTCCTTGTCCCAAGCCAGCGGGGAATGGTCACAAAGTGGGACATGGAGATGGATGGATCTCTTGTCTTGGCCTGAGAATGTTTCAGGAGGCTCCCTTGTTTTATTTGTGACTGGAGAAGGGCTCAAAATAGATACCCAATGGCATTTTGACAATTGACTTTTTATTTCCTTCCTTCCTTCCTCTCTATCTCCTTTCTTTCTTTCTTTCTTCCTTCCTTCCTTCTTTCTCTTTCTTTCTCTCTTCATTTTTCATCCTTTCTTCTTTTTTCTTCCCTCCTTTCCTCCCTCCCTCCTTCCCTCCCTCCTTTCTCTCCTTCCTTCCTTGTCTTTCTTTCTCCATTTTTCATCCTTTCTTCCTTTTTTCTTCCCTCCCTCCTTTCTCTTCTTTCTTCCTTTCTTTTTTCTTCCTTTCCATCTTTCCCTTCCTTCCTTTCTCCCTTCCATTCTTTCCTTCCTTCCTTTTTTCTTCCCTCTCTCCCTCCTTTCTTTTATTCCTTCCTTCCTTCATTTTTCTTCCTTTTTTCTTCCTTCTTTCCCTCCCTCCTTTTTCTTCTTCCTTTCTTTTTTCTTTCTTTTTTCTTTCTCTTTCTTTCCCTTTCTTCCTTCCTTCTTTCTCCCTTCATTTTTCTTCCTTTCTTGCTTTTTTCTTCCCTCTCCCTCCTTTCTTTCATTCATTCCTTCTTTCATTTTTCTTCCCTCCTTTTTTCTTCCCTCCTTCTTTCCCTCCTTTCTCTTTTTCCTTCCTTTCTTTTTTCTTTATTTCTTTCTCTTTCTTTCCCTTCCTTCCTTCCTTCCTTTCTCCCTTCATTTTTCTTCCTTTCTTGCTTTTTTCTTCCCTCTCTCCCTCCTTTCTTTCATTCCTTCCTTCCTTTTTTTCTTTCTCATTCTCTCTCTCTCTCTCTTTTCTTCCTGGGGAAAGGAAGAAGTGCTATCTCATTTTGAAACCTAAAAGATAGGGAGCCCGGGCCTAGGAGAAAGCGGGTAGTGAGAAGTCCTTTGTAATATATTGCCATATTATTACTAAATCCCCAGACAGACTTGGCATAGCTCAAGTCACCTGTCACTTAAATTTGAGGTCCCTTTAATTTTCTCCCGGAATTCGCGCTGGGCTGTCTTTAAATTAAGTCCTTTATTGGAAGCCTGAAATCTTTCCTTGCTTCCCTGGCGCTGGCGTCTATTCCGAGCTCGGTTACAGAAAAGTATACAATAACCATCAGTGGGATTTGGAGAGGTGTTGAGGCTGTGTTTATTTAACACTCGGGGGGGAATTTTCGAGTTTATTTGGTCCTCGCTGCCCGCTTTCAATAATGCTTTGACAACCGGGTATGCCCTTCTCATTAATTTTAAACAGTTAAAACACGGGGAGAAGGAGGGGCGGGAAGGGGAAAAAAGTTTTTCATTATTAAAGTGCTTTACTTTTTAATAACAGAGGATTCTGGACGTCGGGGGGAAAGGGCAGCTTCGCTTAATTTCACATTCATATTAAAAAAAAAAAAAAAACCACACACACACACCGAGAAGGAAGGTGACACTGTGTGCAACCCAACACAGCTTAAAAAAAAAAAGAAGAAGAAGGGAAAAAGCTGGATTGACAAATGCCAAGAGCCTCTGGGAGCAAGGAAGGAGAGGGGAAACGACTTAGTTATATTGCCAAGGCAGGTTTTTAAATATGATTTGTACGCCGCTTTTCTTTTTCTTTTTTTTTTTAAGCTGTGTTGGGTTGCACACAGTGTCACCTTCCTTCTCGGTGTGTGTGTGTGGTTTTTTTTTTTTTTTTTTAATATGAATGTGAAATTAAGCGAAGCTGCCCTTTCCCCCCGACGTCCAGAATCCTCTGTTATTAAAAAGTAAAGCACTTTAATAATGAAAAACTTTTTTCCCCTTCCCGCCCCTCCT